TCAAGTGATTTTTATACAGCATTCACCGCAGCAGCGACCTCTTTTTAAAAGGCTTACTACGCATTCACTCACCGGCTGTATGACAAAAATTATGCACATCATTTTAAAAAAGCAGACATTGACTGATATGTTAAAAGCAGGGGCCTACCAGTAAGGATGGCAGCGTTCAGAGAAAATTACCGCTGGTAGGGCTTTCAGTTTCTCGCAGCTCTCTATTTAAAAGTGGGCTAGCAGTGGTAACGAAGACGTCTACAAAAGCTTTATTGCGGGGCCCAGGCTTTCTCGGCATATATTGATGCATTAGCGGTACAAAACCCATTTCGCTGAAATAGTGGCGTTATCTCCGTTGGGTTTCAGTGAAAGATTGCATTTTGCGTGAAACAGAATTCATGAGCGATGCAAATCAAATGCAATAGAAAATTTTCAGCGCGAGGAGAAATCAAACCCCGGCTGTTACAGGGTAAGCAGGTGTTCTGCCACAGGGCCAAGGCATTTTTTCTCGCATTCAAATAATACCTGTTATCATTTTCAACTGCGCGCAACATAGTTCATCACATTAAAATTATGTTGACCTCCTATTAAATGCCATCCCTAACTTTGCACACAGCAATTAACAGTTTTCATTGAGTGCCTGGTACCGAGTGGTAAATATTGCACCTCCCGGTTAATCCGCGTACGTTTGTGCCCTTAAACGGAAAAAAGTTTTGTCAGCTGAAGAACATTATGAAAATGACAGACTTCAGAAGGCACGTGCAAACTGTACGAGCGAGCAGCATCGATTACTGCCATTTTTCTTGCAACCATTTTCTTGCGGCAGAAATATCAAAAGTATTTTGGCATATATCATGACTTAAAGTTTTCGAATTTCTCTCTTTCACTGTGGCGTTTAGATGAAAACTGGCGTGTGGAACATTTGGCGTGGTATGCACTTAAGAAACGACATCTGCATTATGATATCAACGTTGTGTTGTAAGATATAAGTATGAAGAAAGATCATCGTCTGAGAGCATAAAGATGAGCTGTATTCTGCTGGATGTCAGTTTCTGGGGTGGTTTTTCAGATGCCCAATGAATGTAGGAGGTGCTAGAAACATTACCCGAACGTTTTCTTTAACAATACTTGCGTGGTTGCATGAAAAAACATGTGAGGTCTGGCATATAACTCGCAAGGTCTAAGGGAACACAAGTTCTTGCTCACCTGATCAAGAATGATGTACCGCAAAATGGTGGGAAGACAAACATATTTCACCAAACACGGCTTCTTGACGCACCGCTGTCACTGAATAACATACCTCGCGGCTGTCAAAAAAGAGTTTAAGAGATCACTTGAGAGCTATTGAAGATATAGTTCTATGATCCACGGACGTAGTGTACGTACCTTATGAAGCACACGCAGTCATATGGTATGGTCACTGCGATCGTAGGCAATGATTTTGCCCTATAGTCATGCTGTTCAATCCAATGAGGCAGCGTGGGAGCTCTTGAATTCGGCTATCGCATTCACAATAGCTCCCACGAAAACAAATTGTAATCAGTAGCTACAAGGCTAAATCTCAGAAATACTGACCAAGAGGGAACCACGCTAGAAGCACAAAGGTTGAAATTTCGAGACAAGATGATGATGATTAGTGTTTTTTTGGCGCAAGGACAATAAGTGGCCAAAGAGTGTTATGCCTTTATTATGATGGTGTTGGTGACCAGTGTTAAAGAGGAGCCGGTGCGTTATAGCTGTATAGAGGCCTAAAATCCTGTGCTATACAAGTGCGTAAAAAACAGTGCCACATGATAAAATCATGGGAGCGATACGTGATATGCTCTATAGATGGGCAATGCATTTCCAGTGAATGTGATCTTTACAAGTGAACGAAGGGAAAAGCGCACATATGAGTCCTCAAGGCCTTTCAGGCCAAAGGCATGCAAGCAGAGGCTTTCTTTAGGTATACCGTAGCAACAACCTCTTTTAAGGGGTCATGCTATGGATAGCCTGGCTTGACATGGATGGCATGGATATGGATGACATAAAAACTATGGACGTTTTCGAAAACACATACAATGATGGATAGTTAAAACACGGTTCCCTGCTTATGAGCATCCGTGGGTGAAGCGGTATTTGTTCTTTGTAGATGAAAGGGAAGTGTTTTTTTATTATGGCGTCTAAGACACTACATTACATGAGAATGTTAACAGTGACAGGTTCACCGTTCTCTAGAGCCTGCACGCAGCTTTCGAGACAAAAGAAATCATTTTATATGGGCGCCTGCGCACTGTTTCGTACCCCGCAAAGAGGTGGCTCTCACCGCGCGTCTATGACTTGTGCGTCGATGCGCACAGACGCCCCAACTGAGACCAAGAATAATTGATTGATATGTGGGGTTTAACGTCCCAAAACCACCATATGATTATGAGAGACGCCGTAGTGGAGGGCTTCGGGAATTTCGACCACCAGGAAGTCTTTAACGTGCGCCAAAATCTGAGCACACATGCCTGCAACATTTCCGCCTCCATTGGAAATGCAGCCGCCTCAGCCTCGATTTGATCCCGCAACCTGCGGGTGAGCAGCCAAGTACCTTAGCCACTAGACCATCGCGGCGGGGCCAAGATCGAGAGTGGATGTCGTGAGTAGAATAGTCTACAGACCAACGTGAAATCAAGAGGTCTCGGTATACTCTGGCACACCACGCACTTCATCAAGCCGCTGATCGCGGCCTTGTGCCCCATTCAAACCAGCATATTCCACAAGCCCATCATTAAGGACCGCTATACACAGATGGATTATTTGAACCTATTTTTCATTCGTCGACCAACCCAAACGCTGTTCGACAGGGCTGCACAATCACGAATGACGAGCAATCGGAGTCCACACTTCTCAGCCCAGAACGAGGAGGACAGCTCCGGGCAATCCGAATGTACCAAGCACGCCGGCAGGACCAGAGGGCTCGATGCGTACCACCAGAGCTGCCATTTCATTGCAAACTTTCATCCATATCAGGAATTTGTAGATGTACGTTACGGCAGTGCAACTGTAATGACAGCTTCTGTGGAGATTATAACGCTTCAATGCGACAAAAATGCAAGGTCTTCAGAAAGCAGAGTACACATCTACACGCGCATTTCTAATGAAATCAAGAACATCTCGTGTCTTTCTAAGAAGCGTGCTATGCGGGGAAGATCCCGATTTTAATACGAGTTGTTCTACGCTGTCGAGAAACGACGTCGTATATTTTTGCAATCAGCATTATCCTTATCGGCATTCGACACTTATGGCTACTCTCCTCAGACAGACGACCATTCGTCCAACTCGCTATGTCTATTTGACATATGTCCCTTAGCCAAATATTGTTTCATTAACTCTATTAGTACAGCGTCACCATAGGCACCACCCATTGTGCTCGAGGAAAGTATGCAATAGGTTCGAAAACGTCTTTTATAAGGAAAACGAAGGCAAAAGACGCACCACAAATTGTGCTCGACGAAAGACTGCATTTTGTTACTAAGCGCTTTTTATAAGAAAAAAAGGGCCATACAAGGCGCATTCACAAAATCTTTGAAACAAGAAAAAAAGGGCGGCCTATGGTCAGCTTATCTAATAATGTAATGCCGAAATGCCGCAGCGCTCAACCAAAGTTTGGATTATGACAAAGAGGCGCTCCGTCTGTTATAGACTTGTTACTGCGTACATCCCGTCCAATCATGGCGCTGTAAAAGTGCTGCATGAGCACGTACTGCAAAAACTGTGTGCACTGCCCTGCGTAGTTGTCCATGTGTAGGTTCATTACCATCGCGCAACCATAGATAGATGTACTTGGTACAGAGCTTGGGGTGGCGCTGAAGTTTAGTAATTGTACCAGTGTACCGGCGTTAGGCACAAGCATAATGTATGAGTTTTCTTCTGTCGGCATCGATGAATTCAAGTAAGACAGATGAGAAATGCATGACGTCATACCAGCATTCTTGCGGCAAAAGGCTGTGCTCCTGCAGGCGTCGTATGCGTAGATCGCTGCCTTGTGAACATTACTTTTAGCTATTTTGGTCCAGTCACCATCCTTGAGCTCTACGCCGACTGCCGCCCATGGTGCCAAATCTTGGATGATGCACAGCTGGTCCACCCTGACTCTTCTAGCGACCTTGGCATAGTTAACAATAGCCTGGCGTGCATCGCGGCTTATGTTGGTACAGATGTCTTGGTAAGGACCTTGCCCCACGTAAGGAAGTTCGAACGTACCAATGAAGAAATAGTCTATGACGTTCGCTACGCTGTCTACCAGGTACTCATTGCCGACTCTCAAGGGCAGTACCACGGAGACGACATGCTTTGTCAAGCCGATGTCGACAAAAGTCTCCTTCAGACGGTGCAGCAGGATGGACAACACAACGTCGTGGTCGGACCCGCTACAGGGAGATGTGGGTGCCATCCAGTAAACGGTGACGCCGTCGAGGTTATACATACGCATGTAGTCCGCCACGTTTCTCATGAGGAGGTCCAATGTAGGTGGGTCTCTACCAAGCCTCCAGAAGTGCGGTGCATCCTGCTCGCGACCACCCAGCATTAGCAAGATTCGCGTGTCGTTGTATCCTAGAGTGTTCACAATATTCCTAAGCTGTGTCAGACCATGGCTCTGATCGAAGCGTGGCAGTCGGTTTCTCAGGTGCCCGTCAACGATTCCCACAGACGCGTACACGACGTTGGGACAAAGAGCAAGTGGCAGCATTTCGAACGTGTAGTCATATGGGTATCCGAGCACCCGAAGATGGCGGACTTTGCTGTTATCAAACAGGCAAAATATAGGCCTCTCGCTACGGTTCGGTGCAGCAACAATTGTGGGAGTTGGACCAACTTCGTACTGCAAAGACTCATCAGGAGGCGGAGATGGTGAAACGCAGTTGGATGGTATTCCCACCCAGAAAAATGGAGTGCTCGCAGCGGTCGCTGCCGTTGTTTGGGCTGTAGTAGGTGGCGGAGTGGGTGCTTTAGTCAGCATGGTGATAGGTATACCAGAAGTTTTAGACAGGGGAAACATAGTAGCTTCGGTCATTGCGGTGTTCTTGCTTCAAATAAGGAAGGGTGTGAGAAGCTGCCACGATGACAGGAGGAGAGGAAATGTCAAAGCGGCCCACAATGCCCACAGCTGGACGCACATACGCTCGTCGGGGGGGTGTAGCTTCGTCGCGGTCGAGAAATCGACGTTCTGGCGATGTCACTGTGTAGGTGGGCGAAGGGGGTGGTGCAGCGATAGGCACGCGCAACGGCGAGGTGTCGACTAGGACGACAAGGTCTTTCCTGCCTGGCGCAGCAACCGCAAGAAGCCTGGGCGCTGTAGATAACGGGGCAGGTTTCCTTGACGAAAGGCCAGTGTTTGCCACATTCCGGTGCGATAGGGGCACCGCGTTGTCGTGCAGGTCGCCATCCTCCGATGAAGGCCGAGTTGACGAATCGTAATCCTGGGTATTGGTACTCATTGCACCAAATTTAGGGTAAAACAGACTCTTCAAATCGTGGCTCAAAGCTTTTAGGTCAGAGTGGGATGTAACGTTCAAACCGTAGTTGGCACCAGCGCTGAGGTAGGGTAGAGTAGAACCTTGGACAGTGGCACACACCCACGTTAGGGAATCGGCCAAGCACTGGGTAGTTTTCAAAAGAAATTGTTAAATATTTGAATAAATGTCATACAGTTACAGATGAAAAATGTAGTAATGTAACAAATTGCAAGCGCTACCAATAGTTGAGTACAACATAGGAAGTCGCTCTTAGCTTTGGAATTCAGGTATTAATAATCAAGAATTTGCACGCAATTTAGAAAGTAGCAGCGTGAGTTGGCTCCACGATCAAAATATCTGAACATTTAATAAACTCCACCAAGACATCGGCAACCTTCCCATCACTGTCTCCCAGAGCCAATACCCTGAATGAAGGCACATTTGGTACATTTAGATAAAGTCTGAGGAGTCGGCAAAAAGTACCTGTGCTATTATTCTGCAACGTAGAGTATCTGTTGCAAGAAATGAGGTAACGTTCAGTTGTCTTATGTCCTCCGCAAAAATAACAGTTAGGAGAAGGTGCCACACCAGCACTATCTAAATAAAAATGAAGATATGAATAAGTCTCAAAACCTAGTCTAGTGTTTGAAATTTCAAGTTCTATTGCCTCACAAAGTTTACTGTTCCACGATTGTCTAAGGTGCTGAGATTCCTATGTAGCCGTTAATAATGAAGCGGAAATTTATAACCCCACTTTTCTCCCTATTCTGCCACCTATTATAGAATCGGACGCCGGCGACACATGAGTAACCGGGCTATATAAAGATGTCTTTGCTAACACAGCCGCCATTTCATTCAGAAATTTGAGGAGTACTAGAATGGGCGCTTGATATGCAGGACAAAGTACAGGCAAAAAAAGCCTTGTTTATCTTCTTCTTCTTTGAGGGCTCATACCCAAAGCTTTGCAATCATTTTGTTTGTTTGTTTGTTTGTTTGTTTGTATCCTCTAATCCATGGCTCGTACCCACTCTGGGGGATTGGCCAAGAGGACATGTAGTCTCATATGGACGATAACTTCATTATTGCTTACAACGAAAAAAAGGGGGGGGGGGAGTTGTAGAGTGAAGACAGTATGTTAAAAAAAAGAAAGAAACCAAAGATTTAGATAGTGAGAAAAAAGAATCAACAACAAAGTAGACACTAATAGCTACAACTTGATTTTGGGAGCCGACCAGACAGCTGGTTTTGCCAAACCCGAATAATTTGGTATGTCACGGATTTATCCAGATTTGAAAATTACTTTTCGACCCGGGTTTTTTTTTAGTGTATCTGGTAACGTAGGCTTTTTGTTGAAAAACGTTTAGAGCCTTGAATAAAATTACACACCGCATCGAATGCATCTCTGTGGCAATTTCCCAAAACAGAGGCACCAAAACTTAGAACATTTTCTGTGGTGAAATTTAAACCTAGCTTCGCAAATGAAATATCTAAAAGTCGCTTCCTAATTATTGCATAGTTACGACATGAGCCAAAATAATGTTCAATGGTTTCTGATTCTTCGCAGAACGGACAAAGGAGGGAAAGTGTCAGACCAGCTCTGTGTAAATAAAAATTTAATGGGGGGACACGGCACCGGAATCTGGAGATTATAATTTCAAGTTTTTTTGACGGACTCCACTGGCCTTTCCATGGAAATTTGAGGTGCTGATAATCTGTCCATTGTGTGATCTTTTCTAAACTATCTGTAAAAATAGCGAATTTCCTATATCTAACCACTGATAAGTATTCTAACTCGGGAAGTACTGAAATTACTGGTCGATCGAGTGACGCTCGTGCCAAAGCATCTGCCAATTTAATTGTAATCCGCAGTGACCTGGGACCCACACTAATTTGAGGAGTTTTAAATGCGGCGGTGCTAATGTGTGGAACGCTGCTAGGGCACGAGATTGTTCAGAGGTTGTCAGAGCTGCACACACCGAAAGTGAGTCTGTTAGGATGATTGCACTGGTCTCGGTCGTAGGAATTTTACGAAGATCTAAAATAATAGCTACTACAGGTTTTCCCGCTCAATTTAATCCAAGCGCCAGCCAAATTAATCTAGGCGCCAGTCAATTTAATCCAGCCGCCACTGAAATTAATCCAGGTGCCATTCATTTTAATCCAAGTGCCACTGAAATTAATCCAACCGCCAGCCGATTTAATCCGGACGCCAGTGAAATTAATCCTGATGACATTGTGACTTCAAAACGACCCAGAATTTTCGGGAATGCGTGGAGTGAATAGCTTTGTGAGTGAATTTAACAGGGAAAAGCCATGAATGAGTCACTAGTGACACAATGTGACTCGCGCGACTGTATCTCGTCTATCACCCGCGTAAGCACTAATCACACCTTCGACATGCATATCAAAGGCAACGCGGTCCACACAGTAATAACTTGATACTTATTAGCCAGGCCAATGATCTCATCACGAGTGACTTAAGTGACGTCCTCACGCATATCACCCACGCATGCACTGTCTTAACCTTCCGTCATGCATATCAAATGAAACGTCTTTGAAAGGGCGGGATCTTGATACCTAAAACTCGGCCAAGTCACCTGATAACCAGTTCCTCAGGGGACGTCATCACAAATATCACCCGCACACGTAATTTACTCGCCTACCGACATGCATACCAAACGAAACGTCTTTGAGAGAGCGATAACGTGTTACCTATGACTCGGCCAACTGACTTGATCACTTGTGATTTAGGTGACGTCATCACGCCTATCACCCACGCACGCAATGTCTAACCTGCCATCATGTATACCAAACGAAACGTCTTCGAGAGGCTAATAAATTGAACGCTGTCAATCGGACTAGTGACGTGATCACTAGTGACTAGTGTGACGTCATCGCAACTGACACCCACGCATGCAGTGTCTAACCTGAGTTCATATATATCAAACGAAACGTCTTTGAGAGAGTAATAACTTGAACGCTGTCACAAAGCCCAGTGACGTCATCAATAGTGACTGGCGTGACGTCATCTCGCCTAAGACTCACGCAAGCACTCTCCAATGTGCCTTCATGCATATCAAACAAAACGTCTTTGAAAGGGTACTAACTTGAATGCTGGCACTAGGCCGAGTGACGTCATCACTAGTGACTCTCGTGACGTCATTACGCCTATCACACGCACACGCAGTATCCAAACCTGTCTTCATGCATATCAAACGAAATGTCTTTGAGAGAGTAATAACTTGAACGCTGTCACAAGGCCCGGTGACGTCATCACTAGTGACTGGCGTGACGTCATCACGCCTATCACACACGCACGTCGTGTCCTAACCTGTCTTCATGCATATCAAACGAAATGCCTTTGAGAGAGTAATAACTTGAACGCTGTCACAAGGCCCAGTGACGTCATCACTAGTAACTGGCGTGACGTCATCACGCCTATCCCACACGCACGCAGTGTCCAAACCTGTCTTCATGCATATCAAACGAAATGTCTTTGAGAGAGTAATAATTTGAACGCTGTCACAAGGCCCAGTGACGTCATCACTAGTGACTGGCGTGACGTCATCATGCCTGACACCCACGCACGCAGTGTCCAAACCTGTCTTCATGCATATCAAACGAAATGTCTTTGAGAGAGTAATAACTTGAACGCTGTCACAAGGCCCAGTGACGTCATCACTAGTGACTAGCGTGACGTCATCATGCCTATCACACACACACGCAGTGTCCAAACCTGTCTTCATGCATATCAAACGAAATGTCTTTGAGAAAGTAATACCTTTAACGCTGTCACAAGGCCCAGTGACGTCATCACTAGTGACTGGCGTGACGTCATCACGCCTGACACCCACGCACGCGGTGTCCTAACCTGTCTTCATGCATATCAAACGAAATGTCTTTCAGAGAGTAATAACTTGAACGCTGTCACAAGGCCCAGTGACGTCATCACTAGTGACAGCGTGACGTCATCACGCCTGACACCCACGCACGCGGTGTCCTAACCTGTCTTCATGCATATCAAACGAAATGTCTTTCAGAGAGTAATAACTTGAACGCTGTCACAAGGCCCAGTGACGTCATCACTAGTGACTGGCGTGACGTCATCGCGCCTGACACCCACGCACGCGGTGTCCTAACCTGTCTTCATGCATATCAAACGAAATGTCTTTGAGAGAGTAATAACTTGAACACTGTCACAAGGCCCAGTGACGTCATCACTAGTGACTGGCGTGACGTCATCATGCCTATCACACACGCACGCAGTGTCCAAACCTGTCTTCATGCATATCAAACGAAATGTCTTTGAGAGAGTAATAACTTGAACGCTGTCACAATGCCCAGTGACGTCATCACTAGTGACTGGCGTGACGTCATCATGCCTGACACCCACGCAAGCACTCTGTAACCTGCCTTCATGTATATCAAACGAAACGTCTTAGAGAGAGTAATAACTTGAATGCTCTCACTAGGCCTAGCGACGTGAATACTAGACGTCATCACGTCTATCACACACGCACGCGCTGTCCTAACCTGTTTTCATGCATATCGAAGAAACGTCTGTGAGAGAGCAATAATGTTATACTTATGACTCGGCCAACCGACTTGATCACTATTGACTCACGTGACGTCATCACGACTAACAGTCATGCAAGCACTCTCTGACGTGCTTTCATGAATATCAAACGAAACGTCATTGAGAGAACATTAACTTGAAGGCCGTTGCAGGCAGCGTCTGCTAGTAAAAAACTAACTTCTCGCGCTGCACAGCCGTTCACCGGCTAACCGGTATACGTAGGCACCAGAT